CATCTTTTTTCTTTACTAATAAGGTAGGAGCTTTTGTTGGAGATTTTGAATGGCATATGAAGTTCTTAACAAAGTTCTTGTCAATGTATTCTTTTAACGTAGCTAATTTAGTTTGCAGTAAGTAGTAGATTGGTCCAAATGGTGGTTGAGCTCCTTCTTGTAGATCAACTAAACAAATATAGAATCGATGCTCTTAAAGAATATCTGCATTCTTCTTTTCAAAAACATCCCAAAAATCTTGATATTAACTAAGAATATTACTTGATGTCTTTTTACCATCAAAAATGAGTGTGGCATATATAATAAAAAATGATCTTTTTTTTGTCACATGCATGAAAGTTCTTGCACCTATCAATAAAGATTTGAATATATAAGGCTTATCTATTTTTTCTTCACTATTGAATTTTTTTATTAAACTATAAGAAAAAATAAGATTACAAGAAATCCAATTTATCTAAAGATTTTATTTTTTTAACTATAATAGTTCTAAAATAACTAGATTGGAAGAAAATCTTGTTACATTAAATATATTTATACTATTATCATCTTTAATTATTACCTCTAAACAAATAGTCTCATGAATAACATCTCTAGAAAACAAAAAACGACTATCTATAACTTCTATATGTAGCAATTTAGTTTTCTTAAGTAAAGGCATCTCTTATTTTTTAACAAAATCTTTATCTATAAAACATATTGAGGCTCTTAAATCTAATAATACCAAGACTTTGTGATTTTTAGGTCCTAAACATACATTTATTGTAAAATAAGGTGAGAGATCTAAGGAGTGAATTAGACCTTTACTAGATATTACATATGTTTCCACTTGTACAATCCTTATTGTAGCTAGAGAAACTTGTTTTCCAATACATTATGTTCTTTGGCAATTGGCCTTTTTTATTTTTTAATTTTGTTGTTTCTTTGGATAATATTGAGTAGTGTGCTTGGCTTCTCCACAGTATAAGCATAAATTATTTTGACAATGTCGAGTCTTTTTTTATTCAAAGAGGACTTTAAAATATATCTTATCAATTTTCATTGGTTCCAACCTTGATATATAAGTTTTTGAAAACTTGAAAGCTATTGTCATTACTTGGCTTGTTCGTCTTTAGCCAAATCTTTATTCTTGATGCTTTTCAAATAATCAATCGTTACATGTAATGGCTTGAGCAATAAATTATTTCAAAGATTTTTCTTTAAATATTGTTAATAAAAAATCTTTAATTTTATCCTTTAATCCATATCAAAATTGATTAATGAAGGCTTTGAAATTCCAATATACATCATAAGTGAGGTTTTAGAATTTAGCAGCATATATGGTAACTAATTATGATTCTTGTTGTGAAGATAAGAGGTTGGTCTCTACTACTCTTTCTTAATGACTATCTCTAAATATAGCTATAAATACTTATAGAAATGAATTCAAATCATAAAAGAATTGTAAATCATTTTTCATTAATGGTACAAACAAAGAGAGAGCACTTCCAGATAGAAGTGCGCATATGAATCGAACTTGAGTAAACCCATCAAGATATTGGAAGGGATGAAATCTTAGATATAATATTACTTATTGTAGAAATCCTTAAAATTTTCATCTCATTCTATCAAACTTATTAGACATACTCATTTGTGTTCTTGTCATACTTGTAGAACAAAACTTTCTGGATTTAGTTGTGATATCGATCTACTCGTTTTTTTTAATTATACAACTTTTTGATATAAATTTTGAACTTCTTCTATGGATATAATATTAGTATTTTTGTGGTTGGTGTTGATGATGTATAAAATTTTTATTCTAAGAGTGTTGACAAATTCATGAAAATCAATAATAGTTATAAATCTATTCTCACTTCCACTAAGTATAGCATCCATGATTTTTCCTTTTCTTTTAGATAACTTAACAAATCTACAAATTAAATTAAAAGAGTGTAATCTATAACTTCTAATACCAAATGAAAATTTCTATAAAGAGGAATAATCTATTCTCTTCAAGAATAAAAATCCATGTTAAGAAATTCAAAAGTTTATTTTAAGGTAAGTAATCTGTAACCTTCAAGATATAATAATAGAAGTAGAATAATCTACTTACTTTTAAAAATAAGCCAAAAACAATAAGCTAACACTCTTATCAAATTGTCAAGGACATAAACTTCAAAAAACTAAAATGTCAATACATTATTGTCATACTCAAAAAGATTAAAAAATCACTCAAAGATAATATAGTATTAAATTAGAATGGCTATTGTCAAAGATAAAAAGATTAAAAAGTCTTGAAACAAGACTACAAACTAAAAAGGCATGGATAAGAGTAAAGAAGGCTTTATTCTTGCATCCATATATACTCTTAACTAGGAATTACGTGGCAATGTCCTATAGGACCTCTAAAACATGTTGACTTTATAAGACACGTATCTTAACTTGTAAGATAAGTTTTTTGTATATATATATATATATATATATATATATATGCCATATAGTTAGCTTATTCTACAAGCTATTAACATGTGGTTAACTTATTGATCAAGTTTCTAACCTACCAATCAACTACAAACACATGTAAAGTCAAAGTAGTGTCTATGAAGCTTCTAGAAAGCTTCTCTAGAAAATATTATAAAATAAATATAGTTTTACTTACTTCTACTTAATTATATAAATAAATATTAGGATAAATATGTATGTCCATGACATATGTTTATATTTACATCTTAAAATGATTGATATAAAATATTTATATCAAAAAATATCTATAATAAATCTCTACAAATAGGCTTTAATGCTCAAAATCTTTCTAAGAGCATGATACTATTATAACTAGATTTATGCAAGTTCAATTTCAATTGAATTTTTGTAAAATATATTTTAAAAATATATCTAGTCCAATTTGCTTTATATAAATATTATATATATGTATTGGTTTAAAATTTTTAATTTTTTTTTTAAAATATCTTTTAATTTAAAATTTTATCTTTTAATATATTATTTAAAATATTTGCAATATTTTAATTCCAAGAATATCATTTTAATCAAAATATAAATTTTAAATAAATGATAAAACTCACATTAAAACTAACTCATTATATATTCTAAACCAAATGAAATACTTATAAGCATTATTTTATTTATTGATGACTCTAATTGTTGCAAATGCATTTTATTTAAGTTATTATGTATAATAGAATACCATGGATCCATGGTAGAATATAATATTGAATTTTATACATAAAAAAATAAAAATTAAAATGATTTTATTGCTTATTGAAGTCTTAAAAATGACTAAATGACAAATATACATTAATAATATCTTAGCTTATAAAAAAATTGATTAAAAATAATATAAGAATTTATATTATAAATAATAATAAAATAATATCTAAAACAAAGTGAAAATAATTTAGTTGTTGATTGAATTAAATCATTGAACTTCAATATGTATAGAGTGTTCAAAATTGCTGTATATTAAAATATATTTTGATGCATAAGCTTAAATGTTGAAATATTGTTTATAATACTAATTATTGTTTAGTAGGCAGTAGACATATATAATATATGGATCAATAGTTATATTTAATTCAAATCATTACATGGTCTCTAGAGTTATCATGTTATCAAATTATAAGAAGAAGATGACACATTGCATTATTATATTTAAAAAAAAAAGGGTTTAACAATACATTGCATCATCTACAAAAGATTAATCGTAGAAAACAATATATTTTTTGTTTGTCGATGTGAATTAGCATTATTTTTCTTCTAATCTAGTATTATTTTACAGATGTGCAACGTGCTTGTGTTGGTCAAGTAGTAATTTTTAAATTAATAATGATTGTTGTAGATACTGCTTTGCTATTGTTTTGTCTTTATATAAGCAAATTTGATGATTTATTATCTTCATACTATTGTGCAATATTTTTATAATCAATTATTATTCTTTGATAAAAATTTAATAATATTCTTTAAAAAATAATATTATGTAACACATTTATTTAACTATTTAAAAAAAATACTATATATGTATATCGTATATTAAAATTTGATGAAATAAAAAGATTACTGTATATATTTTAATTTATGATGTTAGAAAAGATGGCTTATGCAAAGTTTTAATTATTAAGTGAGTGATTGTTATTATTCTACACAATATACCAAAGTAACATGAGTCAATAATCTCATATATTACAAATTATTATTTTTATAACCATTCCATGATAAATAAATCAGTAACTATTTAAAACATCATGTAACTTTTACTATTATTATTCTGTACATACTGCAATCAGAATTTTCTTGTATTTTAAAATTTGAAATCTTTAAAACATGTCAAAGTAGTACCAGATTTTATAGGATCAAGTGCCTAAAAATATTTTCATATATTTTAAGTGAATATTGAGCACTTAAAAATACATACGATCTAAATTTAAAAGACACTTATCTTCTTAAAATTTACAGAGATCTTAATTCCAACCTCAATTCCACTGTGGTATTTAGGAAACCACTTTAATTTTTTTTTATAATATTTGCAATTTTTATGCAAATTGCAAGAGTATTTTTCAACAAATTGTTGAAAAACCTCAATCATGACAATATCTTGTACATGTTTACAAACACTTCTCTCACAATCTTTATTTCATTCTAATTAACTAAAAATAAATTTCTTAAATAACTAAGCATTTAATTGCTAACCCAGACCAAGTTAACGTTTCATCTCCATATGCTTACCATATTGTTGAGGTTTGAATATTCCTTCACATCTTGGATACTAATAAAGAACAAGATCATCCAAAAATTAGCGAACGAAAGAAAAAGAAAAGGAAATGAAACTGGAGGGATGACAACGCAAGCGGAGAGAGAGAGAGAGAGAGGAGGGAAAAAAAAAACAAAAAAAACAAAAAAAACGAGACTCGCAAGAGAAAGAAAAGTAAAAGTAATCCGAAGAATGGAAAACAGGAGGGATCCGATGCTTTTTGCAAGCCCCGAAGCCCTTGCGCGCAGAAGCTTCGAAGTCCTCGAAGCCTCGAAATTAGGGTTTCGATTACGAAAGACCGGCACTGTTCACGAGTCTCGGCACACCTGCCGAGGTCGCGGACCGGAATTGAGCGGAGCCATGAATCAGGGAGTACTTGGACACGTCAATGCACTTGTCGCGATGTCGACGTGCACCCTTCCGTCGTGGCTTGATCGACCCAGGAGGCGAATTCGGTGAAAATCCCACGCCCTGATGCTTTCAAGACCATACAGCAAGTAATCTCCTGCGGTGTTTTGGGATTAGAGCTAAATCCGTTCATCTCCGAGTTCGTCTTAAGGGATAATCTCGGAATGCGGGTCCTCCTCCGCTCAGCCGCCTATCAAATTTGGAGGTCGTGATGCTCTTCACCGGAATTGGATCCACCGCAGCGTCGGCGAGGGCCCGCCAATTTTCTTCATGACGCTGTGCAACCCTTCAATCATCGCCACGTAGTTGAATTATTTTGCTTATTCTTCTGCAGCGTCATACGCAAGTCAGATTGTGGGGCTACGAAGGCTCAACCGACCGCCTCCTGCCAGCGACCTCAAGCTTCGTCCGTTGGGCGCAGATTACATTGATGAGCACCCACTGTTGGCGAGAAGCGGAGGAGAAGGTGAAGCGGGGGGAGAGCTCGGGAAGTCGGCGAACGATTTATGTGGAGAAATGGAGGAGATCGTTCCCCCTTCCGACCCTCCAGGATCTCCAGATTTGTATTCGTCGAGGCTGTTTATGATGCGGTGAGGTGCGGATGCAGGAGCACCATGTTGGTGAAATGTTAGTGGTGGTTGTGGGGTACAGTTACTGTCTCGATTTCAGGCAGCGGTTGGATTACTGTGGCGTCCGTGTTCTAAAGATTTTGGTAAGGACATGAGGTGTTGTATGGATACTTTGGAAACCGGCGAATTTTTTCATTCGTGCGGTGGAGAGGTACTTGTGTCATGAGACGGAGTTGAGTGGACGCGGGGATTGGAACGGTTTGCTGCGTTTTGATTCACGATCGTCGTTACGGTATGTACGATCATGAATTTGGGTAGTTTGGTGCTTTTGCAAGTGGGGTTAAAGTTAAGTGAGATTATTCTGGAGTTTGGCCAGGGTGACAGAGTTGAGTTCAATTGTTGGAGCGTAGTTAGCACGTATCATACGGTAGGCTGGAGATTTTAGGTTCGAAAGGGTGCGAGTTGCTCCACATTGTCGCCGTGATATGTTTAAGTTATTGTTTTCTAAGTTTTGACTACTGCGAGTTGAAATTTTGTCTCGGCGAGGCAGGGTTGTTGTTGAGTTGGTGGGTGGAATTCACGATTTTGGAGAGGTTCTTGAAATGTAGTACAATGTTTAGAGGTGGGTGTTTGGAATTCGGGTAGCGGTGGAGGCTGAAGTCGGTGCAGTATATAAATCTGGTACTTGTTAATTGTATTGTCCACCAGCATCTCCATCTGCTCGGTGGATGGATGGGCGCTGAATACGAGATTTTGACTGAAGTGCTTGCTTGCTTTCGTCATTCTTGTGTCTCACAACATGATCCATCTCTACCGCGAAAACCTTGGTTTTGTTTTGTTTTGTTTTTTGTTTCGTTGTTGTTCACAATGGAGCTGTAGATGTTGCACACAGAGAACTCGGTTGTTACTAAGTGGTGTTGGAGGATGGAGAGGATTCTCTTCGCTGGCTAATTGTTTTCAATTGATGTGGGTTCTTGTGACTTCAAGCTTCATATATACTCATCAAATTCGTCCTGTGTTTGGTATTATATGGGCGCAGCTATTATGTCCTCACCCTTGCGTAGGTGTCGCTAGCTTCTTACGCAATGAATAATACGATGGCAGATTCAATGGGGAATGAGGTGTACGAGCTCACAAACCTGCAGATTAGGTAATGTGCTGTGACGATGTATACGTGTATGGTGCTTCAACTTTTAGTCAATCTCATCTATCTAATTTGTTGTTTCAATTAACGGCTCTGACTTTGATGTCCGTATAAAATATCTGCCGCTTTTGCTGACGTCTTGAAACTTGATGGCAGTTGAGACTACGCGGGTCTGATTTTGTCGTTCTTTTTGCACAGCATTCTCATATTTTGGAACTTGTCTGGAATGCAGAGATATGCAGTCTTATGTCTCTAGGCTTTTTTTGCTGGTGGCGAATGAGAACTCCAAAGTAGTTTTTTTAGTAGACAACGGACCTTGGACATCACAGGAAAACCGCTTCAGGCCCACCGAACTCTGGCAGCTTATGGTCACTCAAGTATGCCTTTCACTCTTGCTACCTGTCTGTTTGTAAAAAAAGTGTAATTTTCAAAACATTTATCGATTTGATTATACGCCATCTTAGTGATGTCAGCAATCTTTTGCAGTCGAGAGTCTCTCCTTTTGCAAACCGTAGAAGAAAGTCAAGTGGGGATCACAGCAGGGCTTATAGCTCTGGCGCATCGTCAAGTGCGCGTCGGAGCTCTGAAGGACGCTCGGAAAAGTTGTCCAGCTGGTCAAATTTCAAAAGACTTCTGCAGCAGCAATTCAAGGCCCTACCTCTTATGAGGAAGTCTCCTGAGGGCTTTCATGGTTGTGTAGCCTTTGAGGTGGAGTGGACTAATGTGCGGGGAATTAACTACAGCAATGAGCTCCTGGTGAGTTGAGGACGGGGCATGCTCCCATGTTTCAGTTTGAAGGACACTTTTGACACTACTTTCTATCAACTGTCTTCTCAGCCTTGTTACCATCTGAGGTCGTGTTGGCTGAAGTTTCTTCTGACGAGCAACTAAATTTTCTGAGCGAGGGACAGACAGATACATGCGTCGCTCTGGAAGTGAAGACGATGGTCAAGAGAGAGTTCGACAGCCTGCAGCAGGCTCAAGCCTGGTACGCTTCGGAACGACTTAAGCTACGAGTAGCTAGTACTTCTTTTGCTGCTGGAGCTTCAGAAGGTGATGGCTGTATGGCAAAGCTTTCCACTTGTTTCTCGGAGGAGTGCTATTGTAATCTTGCTCCACCACGATGGAGTTTGGATGGCAGCGTCAGCACTGATGAGTGTTCTGGGGATTCTGACGTGACCGAATCAGATGGAAGTCCCGAGGACGACGCTAGTGATTATGGTACCGTGAAATCGTTTGTGGCCGATGTCTTTGATTTCGAGGAAGATTTGAGTGAAAATTTTGTGGATTTTTCGTCGCTTCCTTCGTTACCTCAGAATACGTCATGCCAATATCAGGACTCTTGGACTTGCTCCACGTGGTGTCCGGAGTCCCGAGAGAGGACTAGCGTTGATGGCAACGAGCAACACTCCCTGGATTCAGTGTGCAGTTTGCAGTTGCAAGATCGATACGATGGCATAGAAGAGTTTTTGGGTCACCAAGTGAACGACTGCACATCTTCCTCAAATAGTATCGACAGCATGGAGAAAATTGGAAACAGCCGGGTACTATTGCCTTTAGTATCACAGGGCAGCTTTGACATGGGTCGACCACCCGAAGTAGACTGTAAAGATGCAGGTTGTATGTTAGACAAGTGGTTTTGGGCAGAAGTGAATGAGGTGCCTTCAAGTCACGCCGCATCTCATGTTCCCATCGACTCTGAAGCATACGGGGATGTGCTCATCGTATTTAGGTTCAAGGACCCCATGCTGCCATTTGAGCTCCAAAAGATTGTGACCGCTGACTCTGGATTGCTGAAAATGCTAGAGTCTGGATTACCCTCTTGGGTGATATTCTTGCAGTCGTACCCAATTTTCTGTCAACTGTATCGCCCTTGGATGCGGCCGCTCTGTGGATCCATATACTTCATAGTTTCTGTAGTGACAGTATTGATTGGGTTTTACGACTTGTACAAGAACGTCCCTATCCTCAAAGCCACAGCAGCTCGTTTGTGTGGTCCCCTTTTTGAGTGGATTGAAGCATGGGAAATGGTATCTCGGTTGAAGTATTTAGGGACCATGCTGGTTCTACAAAATTTTGAGAAAGCTTTTCGATGGTTGCTCATGGCTGTTCGAGCTGTCAGGCAAATATTTCATTTATTAACGCGACCTTTGGTAGAGCCCCTGACAGTGTTGGTTGATGTGGTTCTTCCCGTCTGGAGCATGTTGCTGGGAGTCCTTCTGGGTACTTGGAATCTTATATCAGTGACCGTGTTCTCAGTCTTGCTCACTCTTGGCAACCTTCTGCAGTTAATGGTTTGGCCCTTCTGTGTGCTGCTAAGCTCTATTTGGAATCTTGGTAAGTGGCCTTGCCTTTCATTGGTTCCGACCATACATTAGTTGGAACACCGTTGTTTTTTTATTTTATTTTATTTTTTTCCGCTAGCTGTTGTGCTTCTTGTGATATAACTTCCCATCTTGTTTAATTTTATTTATTACTTGAGAAATATATACTGTTTGTTACTTAGAATATAGTTTGAGTAGCGTACGAAAACAGTAATGTTTTTCTGTAACTGTACAGGAATTTATCCGATTTTGGCGGCAGCATGGGCGTTGGTGTGTTTGCCGCTGCAGATTGTCCATCTCATCCTGATACTTGCGGAAAATGCAATCGATGGGCTTATGGATCTGGTGCAATTTATTTTTAGCAGCATATCTCCTGCTATTTCAACTCTCAAGAGTGCCAAGGCTGCCACACCACCACCCTCAATGTGGCGTGCTCTCTGGAATGACCTTTTCTCCAAGGTGAAAACTTGTGGGGGAGTGGGTTGTGGAGATTATTGTGGCATCAGTACTCATCGCAATGTAGTCCTGTTAGTGGGTAAATGGGGGTATCTGTTCAGTGTTTTTGGGTTCATAGCTTGCATCATACGGAAATCTATGTTAACTCCACTAAGAATTTACATTGGTCGTCCCTCATCCCCTCGTATCTCTTACGTTTTGCTGCATCCAGGTCTTTCGTGCAGTCAGGAGCATTTTGAACGGTTTGGTGGCATTTTTAACTGCCTGTAATCGGCATCGCCTCAGGTTTGAATGAACTTTTATTTTAGTTTGCAATCGCTCGGAGGAAAAAGGTTAAAGAGTCACAGTTTTGTTCCAAGGTCAATGTTTATCTGTGGACTAGGGTACATATTTTCGTAGGTCAGAACCTGTTGTCGGTTATAATGTTGTATTTTACTGTTAGAATTTCTTTAGTTACTAATAAATCTCTGTTTGCTATCTGCAGTATATACAATGAGGTGGTGGCTTGTGTTTTCCGTCTTGGGTATATGATAAATTCTGGTCGAAGTGTTGCTGTGAGGACTTGCCAACATATGTTTCCAGTGCAACATTCGAATGCTTTGGAGTCAAAGCAGAAGGTCTGGGCTCTTCTTACGAACTTCTCACTACTTAGAGTGGAATATACGACAGATTGCTGAATATTGTGTGTTTTGTGTTTCAAAGAAAGATGCAGGTCAAATTTGTGTTGTCTTAGTAATCATGGGTTGGATCAGGCCATGAGAACAGGAAATTAATGCAGTGGGAATTTTCCTTTTATTTGGTTAGAGAAATATCTCGACTTATTTGGCTGTTGGTGTGGCCGTCTAGCAGTACTCTTCGGCCATGACGCCCTTGTGATTTTCCGACACTTCAAAAAAACATATCTTGACTCTGGAATTAAAGGTCCGTTGATAATGCATCTATTTATTACAACAATCCAATCTTCTCATTCATTCTAGTGATTGTTCTTTATATGTAGGTGGAAGGTCGTGAGGAAGAGCTCCGACGCAGGTACTGAGATGAATTTGTTCATTGTGAAAATTATGAACGTGTCAAGGATCGTAGATGATGTGTCCGGTGGTCGGCTTTGGCACAGCATGTATTAATTTTGGAGGTTTTGGACTCTGTTTTGCAGTCAAGAAGTTTTGCGGTTAAGAAGGGGTGTGATTGCGCAACCATGATGTGTAGATATCTGCAACAATAATTATTTGGCCATATTTGGTCTGTGCATACTCAGAAAATCAAGATGAGAAACGTGGCTTTTGTCAATGTGATAGGTAAAGGTAACATACCGCGGAGTCCAATTGTACTTATAGTGTTGTTTACTGTCAATAGTAATTGGTAATTCTGTCAAACCATTTGTTTTCGGCAAGGGTCTAGTCGATTCGCCTAGTAGTACTCGGCCGTAAAATTTGGCGAAAATCATCTTAGCTGTGATGGTTGTAGCCCCTCCACAAAAATAGTCGGTGTTTCTGCAAATAGCATTGTGATGTGGAAGTCATGATTTAAAGCATCATTGTGCATGCAAATTGTTCTTCTTTTACTGGCTTGGCACTATGAGATGATTGTCTTTCAGCTTGGCTCACGAACCCTGTTGATACACCATTTTTGTAACCTTGTTTTACAGATTTTTCATTACAAAGTGTTGCCTGCTTCTCTTAATGACCCCTTTCACTCCATTCAAACTTAAAGCTTACCACCCAAATCCTAAAATGTCACTAATATTGTATAAACATCATAACTGACACTCCAGCAATACCATAAAGAAATCTACAGGAAGAACGGGCAGATATTAACACCTGGACAAGTGTTTCAAGTACTCTTAGCTAACCACCAGAGAGAAAAAAATCAAAAACAATAATAGCTATAAAAATAACCTAAAGTGGTTGGTGTAATGCATAATATGAGGGAATAATCCATTCATAGTGTTAGTTACAAAAGCAACAGATCTCTCTATCCAGAATAAGTGACCAGCAATCCATTAAAAGCTAAGTATAGAATTGGACAGTTACAACCACACACCAAAGTAATTCATTTGTGGTTATATTATTTAGAAAAAATTTCATATATACCCTTGAAGTGTCAACAATATCCTTACATTCTTGATAATAGCAAATGTACCCCTATCATTTTTAATAATACAAAATGTAACTCTTGTGGTGATATCCTATCATAAATAAGGCATACATTTGGTATAATAAAAATTGGAAGGAGTATTCTTGATATTTTAGGATATTTGAGGGATTATATATGAAAATTTTCTTGTATTTTGTGGTTTTTAGTATACAATTCTAACTCTAATCTCTACAATGGAGGGAGCTACTTCCATAGAAAACATACCATTTAGAACAATTGGAATGAAAATGTTATATTATGGTTGCTTTTAATCCTATCACATGTGATGTAGTTTCAATTACATAGAACTTTGACAAGTTTTCTCATATAAGTTCCAATGAAATTAGTATCTTTAACTCTATTGCAAAGTTTGATTCTCTTTCTACACAAGGGACTTATAGAGCAAAAATTGATATCCAACATCATGGCATTATGATTGACCAATTCCACTCTAAGTGTGTCGTTCACATAAGAAAACATTTTGAATTAGTTTTGCCATAAACATCCATAGTCACAATGCAATTGACAAGTTTTTCAAAGAAGTGTCAAGGACATGAAGCTCAAAGAAAGAAATCCTCAACAAACTCTTGTGTCATTCAAAAGAATAAGAAAGTCACTCAAAAATGATATAATATTAAACTAGAATGACTATTGCAAAAGATAAAAAGACTAGAGAGTCTTAAAACAAAACTAAGAACTAGAAAGGCGTTGATAAGAGTGAAGAAGGCTTCACTCTTGCCTCTATATATATTCTTAACCAGGACCTATATGACAATCTCCTATAGGACCTCTAAAACGTGTTGACTTTGCAAGATACATATCTTAACTTATAAGACAAGTTTTCTATATATGCACCACATAGTTATCTTGTTCCGTAAGCTATCAACACGTGGTTAATTTGTTGATCAAGTTTCTAACCTATTAATCAATTATAAACACATGTAAAATCAAAGTAGCATCTATGAAGCTTCTTTAAAAAATATTATGAAATAAATCTACTTTTACCTACTTATATTTAATCATATAGATAAATATTAGAATAAATATGTATGCTTGTGAGATTACCTCCCCTTCTAGAGATGAGTTCCATAAAGAATAGTCATCATATGTTGAAGAAATCCAAGATGCGACAAATTGTATTTGCTACATACTTTGATCTTTATTCTCTTCAAAGGTGATTGATAGGTCCTCTTGGCCATCGATAGTCTTCTTCCTTTAATATGAGACTACCATATTAAAAGAAGTGACTACCCTATTATTTGATCGTTGTTGAGGCCTTTGTAACTTCCTTCAAATAAAACATTTGAAATACTATTAAGAGTTGTTTCAACCTCTAATAGAATCACCAAACATCAAGAGTCTCTTCTAAGGTCGTAATATCAAATACATAGTATCTTGCCATTTATTAGAAAAAAAAATGTGTTTTTTTTGAGGATCTTCATCTTAATTACGTCGTCGTAAATGTTGTGATAAATGTAATATTTTGTTAGACAAGTTAGCAAGTGATAGCTCTTGAGTTGAATCTATTGATTGTTGATTCTCCATCTCTTTAGCATCACAAATGTACAAAAGTACTAAACATGAAAAGAAGATAAAATGCTATCTTTTTTAGATCTTATTTTTTTTTATAACAAATATTTACTATTCTTCATTTTGGTTTTAGTGGATGTTGTCAATAAAAAACCTAAACCTTCTTTTTGCATTTGCAAGATTCTTTGTTGGCTCCTATTGCATTCACTATTATTATATCTATGCCAATGAATAAAATATTCTAATCTATTTAGACACCGTCTTGAATCTAAAGCTTCTTCCATCTCAAATTCTTGATTATTATCCACTTTTATAGGAAGAGGTCACATTTTTCTTCTTCTTGAAATATTCATTGTCTTATATAATTCAAGAAGAGATACATAGAATATGGGATGGATCTTCAAACTTTGGTAGATTTAATTGATAAGCAATAGGATTGACTTGTTCACAAATAGAAAAAGATTTAAGTCTATAATAGTCCAACTTGTGACAATGATAAATAGTTTTGATATTGCTACAAAGTGGCTATATCTTATCATCGACATTGAATTGTGGTTGTTTCTTGCAATAGGCATCTGCATTAATCTTTTGTCATTCTTGAGCTTTCTTCAACTATTCCTTCATTGCTGCATATAGTTCTAACAAATAATTTATCAAATCTTCTATTGTAAGATTATTAACTTTTAAAAAGTTAAAAGTATCAAGTCGTCGATGATAACCATAATCGGCAAAAAAAGGTGTTTGTTGAGTAGAAGAATGTATCAAATTATTGTAAGCATACTTTGCCAATGGCAAAAGAGTTGTCCAATCATCTTAATAATAATTGATGGTATACCTCAAATATTACTCCAAAACTTAATTCATCTATTTTGTTTGCCTATCGATCTGAAGATAAAAAGCCAAAGAGAGCTTTATGTCCACCTTTAATATCTTGAAAAGGATTCTCTAAAAACTTGATATAAATTGAGTTCTCTTATTTGTTATAATATCTTTGGATAATCCATGATAGTGATAGATGTTGTCAAAAAAAAAGCTTAGCTGTTTCTTCATCTATGATAGACTTTGTATATGGTATAAAATGTGCCATCTTGGTAAATCAATCTACTATCACAAATATAAAATTATACAAACCCAAGATTGAAAGATCTATGATAAAATCCATAGAAACAAAAGACCAAAATAGGTAATAGCTAAAGAAGTTTATAAGGTCGATGATGAAGAGTTTTGAATCTTGAACAAATATTATTCTTGATATCATGAATAAAAGGATCAAAAGACATAATTGATTGAATTTGCTTGACAAAGATTGTATCAATAGTCAATGTTGATTTTATTGGTCAAAGATGAGAATACTTTTTTTTCAAGAAAATTATTGTATATTCATCAAAGTTACATCTTCTTCTTTTGATATAAGAAAAGAATGTCTAGAAAGCGCATTTCATAAAACTTGTTGTTTTCTAAGTCTATAGGTGATCTGAAAATCAAATCTTGATAAAGATTCAAATCACATGTCGACATGAAGTACTTGAGATTCTTGTGATCTGAATATATAGTAACTAGATTAGAATCGCCTTCTAAATAATGATGCCATTCTTAAAATGAATCTACAATTGCAAGGATATCTTTGTTGTGGATCTCATAGTTAATTTTGGCTACTGAAAATTTCATAGAATGAAAAGCAATTAGGTGGAGCTTATCATCTACTCCCATTTAAGATAAAACAATACTTATAGCAAAATTTGATGCATTTGTTTCCATAAAAAATGCCTTTAAAAATTGATGCAAAATAAAATTGGTATAGAAATAAATGTTGTATTTAAGGCTTTAAAACATATTTCTACTTCTTTGCTCTATTCAAGTTTGTCTTTACATGTCAATAGAGTAAGGGGAGTTTTAACTTGAAATTTTTTTTGATGAAGTTTCAATAATAATTGGAAAATATCAAAAAACATTAAACATCTCTCACTATTTTTGGAACCTTCTAATCCATAATAGTTTAGATCTTCTTAAGATCTATCATTAATCCTTTGATGGAAATAATATATCTTAGAAAATCAATCTGAATAATATAAAATATACTATTTTTTATTTTTATTTTTAAATATAATCTTACATCTTTAAGCTTTTATAATATACAATGAAAATAAAATTTATGTTCTTCTATCTATAATATTTTAATCTAATCTAAGAAGATTTATATTTTTCTTTTTGAAAATGTTCCTAAAAATCTTAATATTGGTTAGGAATACTACTTGATGTCTTTTTACCATTAAAAAAAAGTGTGGCATATATAGCAAAAGATAACCCTTCTTTTGATACATGCATGAAAGTTCTTGCACCTACCAATAGGATTTGAATGTACAAGGCTTATCTATTTTTATTTTTCTATCAAAATTTTGGATTAAACTACCAAAAATAATTAAGATTATAATAAATCTAATCTATCTAAGAATTATATTTTTTTAACTACAATAATCCTAAAATAATTGAATTGAAGGGACATCTTATTACATTAAATACTACTATATTATTATAATCTTTAATTACTATATTTAAAAGAATAATATCATAAAAAATATCTTAAAAAGATAATAAACAACCATCTATGATTTCTAGATCTAAGGATTTAGTTTTCTTAACTAAAGATATCTTTTGTTTTTTAACAAAGTCTTTATCTATAAAACAAGCTGAGGCTTTTGAATCTAATAATACAAAGACTTTATAATTTTTAGGTCTTAAATACAAATTTATTGTAAAACAAGATGAAGGATTTAAGAAAAAAAATATGACCTTTATTAAGTATCACACATGATTCTAATCGCAAGATTCTTATTATAGTTAAAAAACTTGTTTTTTGATACATTGTCTTCTTTAGCAATTGAGCTCTTTATTTTGTGA